TCTTTCTTTCTTTCTTTCTTTCTTTCTTTTGCAGAACCGGGGACTGAACTCAGGCCCTTGTACTTGCCAGGGAAGTACTTATTCTGCTGAGCCTGAACTCAGGCCCTTGTACTTGCCAGGGAAGTACTTATTCTGCTGAGCCATCTCCCCAGTCCCTAAGAAAGCTTTATTTTAATACTATAACAAAAAGTAGAAAGGCAAAAACATGGGTTATAATGAAGTTTAATACAAATACCCTACTATAAGATTATAATAGATATCTGAAGTCCATTTATTGAAGAATTTTGGATATTACATTTTCTGCAACTTACAAGTATATAATCAAATATCACAATATTCTTTAAAAATGCCACCTTTTAAGAGCAGAGGTATCAGTTTCTTAGTAGTCTACGATTATGTCCCTATAAGTTATTTATCTTCTACATTATCTTGTAAAATTATGTGTTTAAGCATTCCTTACTTACCTGTATGAATTAAAAGTCCCTTCTGAGTCTAAAGTAGAACTTGTTCTTCCATTTCTATTTGAATCTCCTGGAAAAAAAATGAAAGCACTGAAATAATGTAGATTGGAAAAATGAGTATTTTAGTTAAAAAAAAATCCAAAAAACTATGGTGTGATAGCTCTATGCAATAATCAAATAGCATATCCCTTACACCTTTTGAAACTACCTTTTGTACTGACTCTTTTAGGAAAGAAATTCATTTGGATGCTAAACTATAAAGCAAAACTATTACTCCTAAACTGGGTATTAGAATAACAAAGTAATTACTAAAAGAAACAAATGAAGTATGATGTGGGCATTTTTTTCTTATGAATCACTGATAAACTACTTACAAGCTAATGTTACAAGCAAATGCAATTTTGTTATTGTTGTAATTAGTGACTAACCACCTATCTTGATTACAGACAAATAATTACGTGGCAAAAACCAGTTCTAGAAGCTTTTGAATGCCCACTTTTCCACTACTTAGAAATTTCTTTGGCAGGTAAATTAGAAAGCAGACTTGGGAGTGTGATAATTAAGGATGCATTTTAAAGAACTTTAAATATACCTTAAATATTTTCCCCACAAGTATTTGTTTTATCTACTACAACTTCAGCAGTTTAAACCATGGAAGAAAAAAATATCAAAAGGTAGCTATGTATCTTATAACAGGAGAGACATGTCTCAAATAACATCCAGGAAAAAAAAGCTATATTTACCATAAAGAAAAAATTTAAACAAATGTGTACATGTCATTTATATACTAAAAAATAACAATAAAAATTTTTAAATGCTAAAATATATATTCTAGCTGACAAAAATTAATACCTTAAATTTTAGAAATACTCTTTTATAGTACTGTATACCACCATTAAATGTTATTTGTTCTTGAAAATAAAAAAAACTAGAATCTCAGTGCATTTTATACTTCTAATCTTTGCAATGTAATTCCAAACATCAAGTTATATTCATTTTTATAATATGTAAAACAATAAATTAATGATTAAGCAAAATGTAATTTACACTTTTAGCCTTCTTTGAACAATCTAAGGTGTCACAGAGAGAAACAGTGTTCTTAGTTAAGTCAAATGGTAATTATGGAGCGTTCAGTTTAGAGATAAAACTGAGTACAGCTCTTGTTAGTACACTTACATAATTAGACTATATATTAAATAGTTACTGAAAGCTGAAATGTAATTTTAATGACAGCTGCCTATATTCTTACACATTTTATGTCTTACAGATTAGTCAAGGATGTTGGTTCTCTTCAAGATATTTGAATCTCTGACAAGTGTTTAGAATTCTGAAAATTGGACTCAGCCTACTTCTTGAACTTTTAATTCTATGCCATTTTCAAAATATAATACAGGTGTTTTATTTTAAGCTTAACCAATACTAAAATTATTTGCTACAATTAAAAATGTGACAATTTATAGAAGAAAATTATCAAAAAAAACTTAAATGTTTAAAATCAACTTAGGTGTATTTGCCAGTTTTTTAAAACTATGGGTAAGACAGCATGTACTTCGTTCTTTTTAAAAATCTTTGACACTATAATAAATGAAAAAGATGAAAAGAAAATTAGTCTCTATCTGCTAAATGAAATTTGCTATAACACATGCTATTTAACAGCTTGCAGGCATTTCCTGTGAAACATTCCATAGCAGCGTAGAATAAGTATTATATATTTAAAATTGAGCCTCTCTCTTTAAAATGACAAAATGCTTAAATATACACAATTTCACCAAAGGAATACCTACTCTTTTAAGCTAATATTTACCAGATCAAATACAAAATCCTTCAAATGAGAAACTGGTTTTGGAAACAAGCAGCTTGTGTCATAGATATTACAAAGGTTTTCTTGTTTTTAACTCTTACAAAATGAAGGTATCACATGAAATGTAACTTTCAAGGTGCAGAAGATTGTAATAAGGAAAAAAACATGCAGTTCTTCTTTCTCAAAAAACATACCAAATAAGGAGTATAATTAACAACATTAGACAAAAGATTTTAGAGTTTGCTATATGCGGAAAAAGGAATATAGTTTTAAAGTAGGAACAACTGCTTTGTTCCTTCAATCTAGGTGAAATTATAGCAAATGTTTATGAAAACATCTGTTCTTATAGTAATAAATTCTTAATTTTAGTACAGATCATTCCAGACTCTTATTTTAGAAGGAAACTATTGAAGATTTACAAAAGAATAACAGTATCTGTAATTCTGGAAAAAGGTAGATATGATGTGCTCTATATCCTATAGAGATAGATATTCACTGTGTGAAACGTTTGGAAGGTTTAAAACTGGTTACTAGAAAAAAAAAAAAGGAAGGAAAATAGAAATCCTCATTTTTCATTTAAGAAATAAAATGCTAACAACATATCAGTAACATAAGAAAACATTAAAAGCTGAAAACAAGTTACTTTACTATGTAATTTAATTTGGAAGTGAAGTATAATGAAATAACTATTAATTTTATCAGGAACTAAGTGACTGTGATAACAGTAAAATAACAGGAATATATGTGTAGTATTCCCCAAAAATAACAACAGAGGGTGCAAGAGAGTTTAATATGACATTTTTTCAGTTATTCTGATCCTTGAACTAAGTATCCTGGTACCCATAACTACAATAATGCATAGGCTTTTTACCAATAAATATATATACACACAAATATGCCATTTAAGTAATCTTATCCAAAGGAGTTTAAATGATCAAACAGAACAAATACCTAAATGGATTTTAAGAAGCTTTCTTTCACTTGCTTGAAAAGTAATCTGAGAATAAATTGTTAAATACAATTGTAATTTTAAAAGGTATTCTAATACTAATGAGTAAAATAATCCAATTACATTTAAATTATGCATGTTAAATATATGTATAAATTGTAATTATATATGCTATGCCATTATATTTGTACAACATATTCTTTATCTACAGAAAATATTCATTATTACTTGTGATCATAAATTTGAAATTTAAGTAATAGTTCTGATTCATTGGCAAGCAACTTTGCAAAACAAGTTCATGATATTCACAATTAAATAAGATGATTATTAGAAAACAGTCCACTGGTACATAGATGGTTTAAATGAAGATACAAAACAACTAGCATTTAGAAGTAATAATTTCTAATAGATGTACATGTGAGTATATATATGTCTTATAAAGCCAATAATATGTATAAAAGTGCCTTAAATTTCAATACAGGAGTATGGATTTTCTTTTAGGTTTATCAGCAACGATGTCTGGCTAAGAGCATTTACTGATTCTATCTGTATACTGTTGACATCATGCTAAGTGAAGGTTCACAATAGCATTTTGTAGTATTTTTCATGCAGAAGCATCTGTCTCCTTTGTGAAGGGAAAAAAAGATTTTAAATGAGGTTAGGTTAAAAACAGCCAAATTGATGATCACATGTGGCACCTATGCATTCTGAAATGTACTGCATAACTTTAAAAAAGCTTTAGCACTGAATGATTAGAGAACTGTACTTAACTATACGTGATCTTTAGTAGTAAACAATGAGGTGGCTTGCTTCAAACTATGAAAACTATGGCTTTAGCAAAGACCTGAAAGCTCTTTTTTTAAATGAAGTACAGTACACTATAGGAATGTTTTAATTAAATTTAGTACCGTTTATAAATGACATGATTTTAAAAACTGTGAATAAGTGCACATATGCTGACAACTGTAAAGGCAAAGCATAATAATCACTTCGGCTGTCATCACCCATAAACACAGTGGCCACTAAGCATAATACATCTCAGGGGTCAAAATAAGTGTCAGTCTCCTTGGGCTAATTATTACTGCTAAAAATCCAAGACTGTTACACAGTTCTAAAACCCAACTTTGAAGTCTGTTCAGAAATTCATGAATTTTATGCTTTTTTATTTTCTCTATTATTGAAATTTACCTATGATTTAATAGCCATATGTACTTTTCTTTTTTTTTTAACATTTATTTATGTATTTGGTACAGAGTGTTGCAGCTTGGACTCATAGTGAGCCTTCTGTCTCAGCCTCCCCAGTGCGGGGATTACGGTGTGTGCTACCATGCCCAGTTCCAGGGGCCAGCACAGCGTGGGGTCGGTGCGGGCAGGGGTGATTGAACTGGGGTCCTTGTACTTGCCAGGCAAGTGCTTAGACTATCAAGCTATCTCCCCCAGCTCCATATTTACTGTTCTAATACTTTCAAATTATTTTATATAATGAAACCTCAGGTACAAAATAGAAATATATAGGCATTATTTTAAAATATTTTCTTCTTCTGAAACCATTAAGAATTTTCTTAAAACAACAAAAGAAAACAAAGATCCGAAAACTGAGTATGATATTCCAATTACTCATTCTCTCACGGAAACAAAGAAAAAGTAACAAAAATTTAAGTGTTAGCAAGAGCACATTAGAAAGCACACAGAAACACAGGTGAGTAAAAAAAGGCTGGGCTTTATTCTGTCATGGGGGAGATAGAATGAGATCATGAATATTATCAGTAGCTGGCCAGAGGAAAAGTGTATATAGGGTCTGGGGATACGGTTACAATCTAAAGGAAATGACTGGAATGTTTGGTGTCAAAGTTCCAAGGGATGGTCAGTGGAAGAGGGCAGATAATACTAGACTGACAATGAGGAGCTCATATGCAATGCTGAAGTTTCTTTATGGCACCTGCTCTGTTTGCTGAGGATAGCATGGCCTGTTTAGTTGTTTCTTGTTTGCTGAGAAGGCCTTGCCTGAGTTAGGCTACTGGAACTCTAGAAAACAGTATGTTTTAAGATCAGCGCAAGTTTGGCTAAATGTAAGCCAGCTACAGCATGAGGCAAATCTTTGGACACAGGGAAAGGTCTTGGTTTTTTTTCTTTGATTTTGTTGCTTTTTATAGCAGATGACATTCAAGGATATTATATCTCTGTCAATATTCTGGCTGAATACAATATAAGAAACAAAGGATCCAGGGAAGACATATGTAAATACTTGGAAAACTTGCAGGAAATTTACTGAACAAGTGTACTATAATACTCTAACATTTAAAACAACAACAACACAGAA